GCACAAAAGGTAGTGCGCCTGATCGATCTGCCCATACCATTGGCATATTGTAGAGGCCAATACTCTATTTCTTTGGTGTTTTTATCAGTGGCTCTTCTGGAACCGCTATGGGGTGTAAAGGGTTAAATGTCAGATATGAATGATACAATACTAGCGCAATTAGCTTATGTGCGTCCGTTACGCTGGCACATGACTAAATGTGTGTACGTCCTTCACACTCATAAACACTGTGTTGCTCGCCCTTCACAATGACAAATGCCTTCTGTTTTTTTTCTAAAAAGCCGTGCGAGATCTTTTGTGAACATTTTTATAAGATCTTCTTCGAAGAGGGTTAACACTAAGAAATTTGTTGTAAGTTGATCTCAGTGAAGTGAGGTTTCTGCATTCCACTCTGAATCCGACTTAGAGCTGTGATGCGGAATCAACAATTACAATTGGAATTAGTTGTCGGACAAAAATTGCTGCTAGAAATTGCCATTACAATGAGTTAGGGCTTATTCCAGTTTAACTTCATTTCTTTTTAGCTGACATTTTGTTTACTTGTCTTTTCCTTAGAACAAAATATGGTTTATGGATTGGAGTTAAGCCCAGACGATAATATTAATATAATTAGACATGCACCAGGTCCGAATTTGACTGAAGAATTCAGAATCAGAAGATTTGCCACCAATAATCTTCGTCTTCGTGTAGGATTCCGAAAAAAAATTTTTAAAGCTTTTTTGCAGTCCAGAAAGTGTACTTTTGTAGTATTGCATTTGTTTGTGACTGCTGAGTTTCATGTCTTCTTTCATTTTAGAGCTTATTTGATGATCTCTTCTTTTTACAAAGCTTTTTTTGAACAAAATGTATTTCTTTTGCTATGAAAGATTTTTTTTGTTTAAGTACATTGATTTATGTAGTGACTGGGCTTTGCATGCCTTATAAACTATTCCAGCAATTTGAAAAGATGATTTGTTTTTCTCAGTCAGACTGTTTTTTGTTGCTCACTCGATTAAACACCATTTGTTTCAGATCTTACTGGCCAAAAAAATCAATCGTATTTCATTGTTGAAAAAGTACTTACAGAAATCTCTTTTTTCATGAAAAGTTGTTAATGTAGATGATGTGTAAGTATTTTTCAAATTTCAGTGTCCTAAAAAAGAACCCTTAAGCTTTTCCCTGTGCCAATAAAACAATCAAGTACATATTGAATCCAAGAATAATCAGCCAAACCAACCAACTGACTCCAGTAAGTAACCATCCATTTTCCATAAAATGATACAAAATCTCTTCTGGTGCTTCCTCTGTTTCTGCACCAGTCTCTATTACTGCAATTGCTGTTTGATTGTTTCGTGAAGAAATAGGAACACGCATATATTTTTTTCGTCCAGTAATATAGATCAGCGGAGCGGTAACAATTGGTAATAGAATACTCAGAGAAACTTGACTAGCATTCAACGCCCGTCCAAGACCAGGCCGTCCGACAGCAGCGGCAACTATAATCGACGGAATTATGGCAATTCCCCGTGTAATCAGACGGCGCAACCAAGGTGCGACCTTCCATTTGAGAAATCCTTCTGAAACCATTTGTCCAGCCATTGTTGCAACAATTCCAGCTGATTGACCACTAAATAAAAGTGCAAGAGCGAACAGTGTACCAGCTACTGATGTCAGATATTCAGATAGCAAGTCCTTAATAGTAAAAAGATCTGCCTCTGCTGCTTTAGATGAATTTGACAATGTTGCACCAGCAACGATCAAAATAGCAGAATTGACAAAAAATGCTAATGTAAAAAGTGAGATTGTAACTTCGAGAACGGAATATTTTAGAGTACTTTTAATGGCAGCTATTGACGGACGGTACTGTTGATGCAGTTCTTCAGATGCATTGGTGGATGTTAAGCTTTTTGAAGAGAACCATGTTGATGGATGTAATCCACTCTTAAGCTTTTGTTTCCATGTTTGTGTGTATCGTGGTTGTTCAATCGATTTTCTTGGCCGAATAAAGTTGCCGGCTTTTTCATCATAATCTCGCATTCGAACCTGAACTAGGCCTGAGCCAAGAAAAAGTGAATGTGGCATAACTGTAGCACCCAAAATTCCAAGTGCAGCATACAGTCCGCCATGGCTGATAATTGTTCCATTAGGAAGAAATCCTTGCATGACTTCTGTAAATGATATCCGTGGCATTTTTATCAATTCAACGACAAAACATGCAATAACACCCAAAACGAGCATGGCAACGAACCATTCGAAATATCTCATACCTTTTAGGCTGCCTTCCGGCCGATAAGCCATCAGAACAATCAGAACATCAATGCTTGTCAAGGCGACACCGGCTACTAACGGGATATGTAATAACATGTTAAGAGCAATGGCAGTACCGATGACCTCAGCTATATCCGTAGCAATGATCGCAAATTCAGCAACAATGTACAAAAGGATGTTGAGCCAAAATGGAAAGTATTCTCGAGAGCATCTTGCCAAATCCATTCCCGTAACAGAACCAAGTTTGCACGCAAGTGATTGTAATAGGATAGCAAAGACATTCGATAAGAAGATGACAAAAAGAAGTTTAAATCGAAATTGAGCACCGGCTGAAACATCAGTCGAATAGTTTCCAGGATCCATGTATGCAACGCTAACCAGGATACCTGGACCAATGAATTTAATGTATTTAAGTAACATATTTTTGAGTTTAAATAAAAAGTTTTTCACTCTTTTAAGATGAATTGTTGTAGGAGCTGGAGGATTGTTGTCTGCTAAGATGGATAACAAAAACGTTTCTGTACAAAAGAATGCTTCGATGGAAAAGGTCCTTACTTTGCCTAGCAGTTTGACCACCTGAATCGTCGTTTTCCGGAATTGCTTTGAGCTGAATATTCGCAGGTTCACTAGAGTTTTCTGATGCTCCGGTGTCCGCATTGAAGGAATGTCGTGTGCTAATAGAAATATCAGATGCTAAAACGAAAGAATTTTTGATTTTAATTCAGTTCAGCAACTTGATTGTGTAAGATATTATGCACACCCTTTGGCTCTGGATCTTTTTTGGGAGAATTCATATTGTGGTTTTTGGAGAGGGATAGCGGTAAGAAGAAGAACAGATCTAATGTACAATCAGTTGTTTAAGAAAATGTTAATCTGCTTTCTTCGTCCTTCTGATTAATGATCATACTGGCTAATGAACTTCGAGTGTTTTTGGTTTTATTCGTAGAGTAAGTGACGCAAATTAAACGATTTGTGCATAATTATAAATCGATAACGAAAGAAGAGTAGTTGTAGGCGAAAAACTAGATGCCATCAGCTTTCTCTGTACAAGCACAAGCACGTGAATTTGTACATAGTCTTTTATTATTCAACCGTGCACAATTTTCTTTTTCTTGCTCTTAATCCTTCTAAAAAACCATTTTTACGACTATTAATACATATAAATGATCAAGAAAAGAGATACTATTCTAATATCGTTTTCTATTTCTTTCTCGTTGATATATTTATATATCTTGTCTTTCTTTTCTTTGTTGTCTTTCTTCCATCTACTATATATGTATATTTTTTAGTTTATTTTTGAAGAAAGGTGAAATAAAGGTCGTGTGCGTGCAAACACACATACACAGATATAACATCTATATCAGAAGGAAAGAGAAAGGCATCGAACGATAACATTTGGCGACCCTGGCTAAACATTACATTAACAAATCAACAACAATTTTAAATCATTTCAACATTAAATTGAATAGGAGCCTCTCTATAATAGAGACTCGAATAAATACTATAACAAAGCATCTTCATAAAGAGACTCGAAATTCAAATTGCCGAAAGCCGAAATAAACTGGACTCGATCAATCTTTTCAATACTCACCTACAATTATCTGGTACTACTGCATTATTTTCTTCGTTTTGTTTTACACTTCAACCACATAGGATCTCCACACAAGAACTTCGTCTTCTTCCGTGAAAACCTCCATGTTTCTCCCACAGAACTCCCCCATCCTGCACGAAATACCTGAAGTCTCTCCACAAGACCTTCGTCTATTTGAGTGAAATACTCGATGTTTCTCCGCAAGAACTTCGTCTGTTTGCGCGAAACGATACTTGTTCCTCCACAAAAACTTTCGGATTTTGCCTCGAACGGTATACCATGGTAAACCTGATTTGAGAGCTCTCTTTTTCCATAAGTATACGTTCCCTGATCCGCTCTTTCGAATGATGAAAATCGCAGGTCTCTATCACCTTTAGTTCAAACGTTATAAACATTTTGCTATTTAATATATCTAAAAACGAATAAAAACCTTCCACTGTTCGAAATTTAACCTCCCATGGCACGAGATCTACTCAGACAGATAGGCCCTTCAAGAACGAATCGAATGGTATATAATAACTCTAGTTTGGGTGAACTTTACATAAGGAGTTTCGTATTTTTAACTCGCAGGACATTTTTCGACAAAAAAAACTCGCGGAACATTTTCGCAGTAAAATGCCCTTTCTAAGAAACCACTAAAGCTCTAAAGTCGAAACTTTAGGAAAATGTTTAATATTATAATATAAAAAAATGGTAAAAAGCTGAAAGCCAGATGTTGGATAGTTTGGGAGATATCAATAAAATATTTTTCAAAAACTAGCGGGACATTTAGCGTGAAAATACCCATTGCCAAATTTTCTACGAGAGCAGTCTCAACGAAACGCGAACTTTTTATTCTAAAATAAAACGGTGAAAACCACGTTTTTTTTAAATCGTTTTTTGACAACGAATATTCATCTGATGAACCTAAGCGGACATTCAAATACAACCAAAAATAAAACGAAGACCAACGCGTTTTTGTTCAGAAGCGTTTAAACGGGTTTTCTTCTCGAATAGTCAAGAAAACGGAAGGAAACGCCAGTATTTTTTCTACGTTAATACTCCACTTTCCAACGCAGGAACTTCGGCCATTTGAGTGAAATACTAGGTGCTTAGCCAAAAAAGCTTCGTCTGCTTGAGTAAAATACTCACTACTACCCAACAACTTCGTCTTCTTGCATGAAATATCTCATGTTTCTCAACAAGAACTGCATCTTTTTCCGTGCAATATCAGATGCTTCTCCACAAGAACTTCGCCTGTTTCCGTCAAAAAATGGACGTTTCTGCGCAAGAACTCCGTCTTCCTGCGTGAAATACTCGATCTTCCCGCACAGGAACTTCGTCAGTTCGCGTGAAACACTCGATATTTCTCCTCAAGAACTTCGTCTGTTTGCGTGAAATACTCAATGTTTCTCACAACAACTTCGTCGTCCTGCGTTAAATACCTCCTGTTTCGCCACCTGTGTTCCTGTGGAGAAACAGCAGGTAACAGACGAAGTTCTGGACGAGGAACATCGAGTATTTCAGGCAAGCAGGCGAATGTCTCGCGGAGAAAGATCGAGTGTTTCACTGAAAAGGACGAGGTTCTTGTTGAGAAACATCGATTCTTTTACGCAAACAGTCGACGTTCTTGCGGAGAAAGTTTGACTGTTTCACCCAAACAGGCGAAGTTGTTGTAGATAAGCATCGAGTATTAAACGCCAGCAGACGAAGTTCCTGTGGATAAACACCGAGTGTTCCACACAGGAAGACCCAGTTCTTGTGGAGAGAGTTTCAGTATTTCACGGAAACGGACTAAGTTTGAGTGGTTGAGCATCCAGTATGTCACGCAAACAGCCGAAGTTCTTGTTGAGAAACATGAGATATTTCACGTTGTTAGGGAGAGACATAGAGCAAAAAGACGAGGTTCTTTCAGAGAAACGTCTCGTTTTTGACGGAAACAGACGAAGTACCTGAGGAGGAACGTAGAGTCTTTCACGCAGTGAAATGGATTCTTTTGGAGAAACATAGAGTGTTTCACCCTGGAAGACGGTGCTCTTGTTGGGAAATTGGCTTCACCCAAACGGAAGAAGTTCTTGCGGAGAAACATACAGTTTTTCACGCACAAAGACGAAGCTCTACTTGAGAACCATTGAGTGTTTCACGCAAATAGTCGAAGCTCCTGCGGCGGATCAAAGGGTATTTCACGCAGGAAGACGGAGTACCTGTGGAGAAACATCCAGAATTTCGCTCAAACAGACGAAGTTCCTGAGGAGGAACATTCAGTGCTGAACGCAAAAAGACCGGGTTCTGTGGAAAAAGATACAGAATTTCAGGCAAACAGGCGAAGTGCCTGTGGGCGCAGAAGGACGGAGTTCTGGCGGCGAAACATCCATTTCTGAAGGCGAGAACATCAAGTTCCCGTGGGGAAGTACCGATCTACTCGTGAGAGAACATAAAGATCTTGCAGTGAAGCACCGACTTCCTAAGGAGAGAACATGGAGTTCTTCTGGAGAAACATCGATTTCTTAAATAGAGAACACAAAGTTCTTACGGAGAAACACGGACTTCTGAACCAGTGAACATGAGGTTCTTGTGGAGAAACATCGATGTCTTAAGGAGAGAACATAAACTTCTTGTGGGGAAACATGGATGTTTCAAGGAGAGAACATGAACCTCTTATGGGAAGACATTAATTTCTTCAGGAGAGAAGATGAATTTCTTGTAAACACACATCGATTTCTGAAGGCGAGAACATCAAGTTCCCGTGGGGAAGTATCGATATCTTCGGGAGAGAGCTTGTATTGAAGCATCGACTTCCTAAGTAGAGAACATGAGCTTCTTGTGGTGAAACTTCCCTATCTCAAGCAGAGAACATGAAGTTCTGGTGGTAAACGTTCCCTGCCTTGAGGCAAGAACATAAAGTTATTGTGGTGATATATCGATGTCTTAAGGGGAGGATATGAAGTTCCTGTGGGTAAACATCGATTTCTTAAGCAGACAATATGCTGTACTCGTAACATCGATTTCCTAAAGAGAGCATGAATCTGTGGTGGAGAAACATCCATATCTGAGGGGATGAAAATGTAGTTGCCGTGGGAAAGTATCGACTTCTTAAGGTGAGAACACGAACCTCTTGTGGAAGTTCTTGTATAGAAGCATCGACTTCTTCAGAAGAGAGCATGAACCTCCTTTGGGAAAACATCGATTTCTGAGGCAGAGAACGTGAGGTTCCTGTGGAGAAACATCGGTGTTTTAAGCACAGAAGTCCTTGTGAATCATCGATGTATGAAATGAGGATATTCGGGACAAGCGCCGATTTCTGAACGAGGGAACATGAAGTTCTTGTGTAGAAACATGGATTTCTTAAGCAGAGTATATGATTTTCTTGTAGACTAACATAGATCTCTTCACAGAGGACATGAAGTTCTTGTGGAGAATCTTGGACGTCTAAAGCAGAGAATATGATGTTCTTGGGGACTAAGATCAATTTTTTAGTTAGAGAGCAGGAAGTTCTTGTGGAGAAATGTCGATTGCTGAAGGAGAGAACATCAAATTCTTGAGGACAAACGTCGATCTCTTCAGCAGAAAACATGAAGTGCTTGCATACATGAAGAGACATCGATTTCTTAATGGGGGAACATAAGGTTCTTGTGGGAGAGACCAGTTCCCGTGGGGCAGTATCGATCTCTTCCGGAAAGAACATAAAGTTCGGAAAACATCGTTTTCTCTGGCAGAGAACGTGAGGTTTTGGTGCAGAAACATCGATGTTTTAAGCACAGAACGTGAGGTTCTTCGACGGAGAGGGCATCAG